GAGGCGACGAACAGGGCGGCCAAAGTGGGTGTTGGCTTGCTCGAGCCAAGCAATGATCGCGGTCGGGGCATCCGCCTTCGTCCGAAGGAGAGAGACGGACGAGTACCGACTGTGGTCATCGACGAGCACGAGGAGGTAGCGATGGCCTTGGCGAGTGGGGGAAGGGGGATTGGGGCCCCAGAGGTCCATGTGAACAAGATCAAGTGGCTGAGCAGCAGCGGAGGGGGAGCTCCGGTGCGGCTGCTGCTTGAGCTTGCTCTGAACACAGACGACGCAAGGGGGGGCAGGGGACTTTGGGAGGGGAGGGAGGGAAGAGGGGAGACCGTGGAGGAGACCGGAGGATACAGAGGAGCGCAGAGTGGCGAAGTTGGGGTGACCTAGCCTGTGATGGAGGAGGATGGCAGGGTGGGAGAGGGAGCGACATGAGCAGTCAGAGTCAGGGGGGCGGGGGGGGACGGGTGGGTTAGTGGAGGGGAGGGGAGGGGGGGGGGGGAAGAGGGGGGGGGAGGCAACTTGGAAGGTGAGGGGGCGAGGAACTCGAAGGGTGTATAGACGGGTGCGGGGACAGTAAGGAATACGGGCGAGGAAACGACCTGTGGAGGTGTGGTAGAGATCACAATGGTTAGCACCACCTGGGGTGAGAGTGGTGATCATGGATTGTTGGAGGGACCTTTGGGAGAGGAGGTTGGTGCGAAGGGAGGGAATGTGAAGACCTGTGACAGTACCTGAGGGAAAGAGAGGACAGGGAAGGGTGGAGGTGTTGTGACAGGGGATGGAAAAGCTGCTATCAGCGCCAAGGAGGGACGTGGATGTGGGAAGAGGATTGAGTTTGCCGGCATCTCGAAAGACATTATCAGTGGCTCCACTGTCCAAGACGAACTCAAGGGTGGAGGAGGGTGAGGCGGAATACTGAATTGAGGTTTCATTAATAGCAGGGGCATACATAGGAGATGCAACAGAAGGAGGCTGACTAAGGAGACCAACAAAGCCAGAGGAGGGAAAGGGGGTCACACTGCCACCTGTGGACGGCGCAGGGGATGGACCGGAGAGGTGGGCCGCAGAGGCGGCATTTCCGGCGGTCCAGCTGGGAAACGGCTGCTGCTGGGGGACAGGAGGAGGAGGGAGGAGAGGAAGTTGGGGCTGGAGGCCGAGTTGCTGCTGGAGCTGCTGAAGCTGCTGCTGGAGCTGCTGGAGCTGCTGCCCATACTGCTGCGGTCCCTGCTGCTGGACACCCTGCTGCTGCTGCTGCTGCTGCTGCTGCTGCTGCTGCTGCTGCTGCTGCTGCTGCTGCTGCTGCTGCTGCTGCTGCTGAGAGGGGAGAGCAAAGGCCTGGTGGGCCTGGGAGGAGGAGGAGGGGGCGTAGAGGGGAGAGGTGCGAACATCGAGGGGAGTGGGGCGGGGATTAAGGGCGGACCAGCGAGGAGGGGTGCCAGAGTTCCCACGAGCGAACCACTCATCGCTGAGTGCCTTGAAGCACGTGTCAGTTGCATGAGTGGTTTGGTTGCAGCGTTGGCCTCGGGTGGGGCCATAGAGGGGAAGATACTGACAGGGTGGGAAGGCCGCTGCTGCCCCACGACCCGCACCACCACGACCGCCAGAGCCGCCTCGACCACCACCACGCCCACCTCCACGCCCTCCCCCACGTCCGCCCTTGCCGCTGCGCTGCTGTGCTACCGCGGCAGTGGAGGAGGAGTGGCGAAGGATTTCAGCCTCAGTGGTGATAATCCACTGGGCAACTTGAGCGGGAGTGTCATGCTTGGAGAGGAGTTGCATGTATGCGAGCTTGTGGGCATCGAAGGCGGGAGTGAGGCCTTCGAGGAGGTGGCAGCAGATGACAGTGTCAGGGTAGGTAACGCCAAGTGCTGCGAGGCGGCGAGCAAGGTCAAGGACGCGGCGAGTAAAGGCGGCTGCGCCGGCAGTGGAATCCATGGTGATGGATCCAAATTCCTTGATGAGGGCATAGAGGGTGGCGATGTCCTGCCGGTCAAAGAGGTCGACAAGCAGTTGCCACAGGTGGGAGGAGGAGGTAGGTGAAAGCTCTCGTTTGAGGGAGGAGGGGATAGTGGCGAGGAGGATGGCGAGAGCTCGACGGTCAGCAATGCGCCACGCAGCGATGTCGGTGGTGTAGCTGGCGAGACGTGTAGTGTACGTGGCGAGTCGAGCTTGGTAATCGCGGTGGCGGGCAGCAGCCTCGTCGTAGGCGCGCTTGTCGTCCTCAACGCGCAGTTGACGGCGAAGGTGGTCGTTGAGTGCGGTGCGGTAGGTACGGATGGCAGTTTCCATGCTCTGAGGATTGTTGACATCCGGCGCGAAGGTGGGAGGATCACCAGGAGGCTCGGGCTCAGGTCCGGGCTCGTCAGGAGGAGGTCCGGTGGGGGCGGAAGGGGCGATGGGCTGGAGTCCGCCTTCCTCCTGGAACACGACGGAACGGAGGGTATATCCGCTGACGACAACCGAGGAGAGCAACACCTCGACGGAGTGGGCATAAGAGTGCCAGTTGGCGGCCGAGTTGTCGCCCAACAACTCGAGAGAGTCAATGGTCGCCAGGTCGACCGATGAGTCTGCGGACGCCATGATGGCGAAGTCGGGAAGGTGCTGCTGCTAGTGCTGTTGAAGGTGCCGCTGCTGGTGCCGTTGAAGGTGCCGCTGCTGGTGCCGTTGAAGGTGCCGCTGCTGGTGCCGTTGAAGGTGCCGCTGCTGGTGCCGTTGAAGGTGCCGCTGCTGGTGCCGTTGAAGGTGCCGCTGCTGGTGCCGTTGAAGGTGCCGCTGCTGGTGCCGTTGAACCGTTGAAGGTGCCGCTGCTGGTTTAGGGTTAAAGGTCGCTGCTAGGTGCTGTTGCTGGTGCGATTAAGGGTGAAGTAGGGGGGGGGGGGAGGAGGTAGGGGAGAGGAAGGATGGCGCGGAAGTGTGGGGCAGGGCGCGGATGAAGGGGGGAGGTTGCGCAGGTCAGTCGCGGCGGCGCGTCGGCCGCCCGTGAGAGCGCGAGGGTCGGCCGCGGCTCTGCGTCGGCCGTCCGCGTCAGCGCGAGGGTCGGCCGCGGCTCTGCGTCGGCCGTCCGCGTCAGCGCGAGGGTCGGCCGCGGCTCCGCGTCGGTCGTCCGCGTCGGCGCGGAGGTCGTCGGCGATCGCGCGGCGGCCGTTCGGGATGGCGCACAGGTCGGCCGCGACTCCGCGCTGGCCGTCCGCGTCGACGCGCGGGGTGCTCGTGGCCGCGGGCTGGCCGTCCGCGACGGTTGGCTGGCCGTCCGCGACGGCTTGCTGGCCGTCCGCGACGGCTTGCTGGCCGTCCGCGACGGCTTTCTGGCCGTCCGCGACGGCTTTCTGGCCGTCCGCGACGGCTTGCTGGCCGTCCGCGACGGTGTGCTGGCCGTCCGCGACGGAAGGCGTGAGGCAGGGGCGGCGGCGGGAGGGAGGATTGAGGCCGCGGGAGAGCGGTCGGAGGCCGCGAGAGGGAGGATTAAGGCCGCGGGAGGGAGGATTGTGGCCGCGGGAGGGAGGATTGAGACCGCGGAGGAGTAGATCTGAGCCGCGGAAAGCTAGATCTGAGGTACGGGAGGGAGGATTGAGGCCGCGGAGGAGTAGATCTGAGCCGCGGAAAGCTAGATCTGAGGTACGGGAGGGAGGATTGAGGCCGCGGGAGGCTAGATCTAAGACGCGGAGAGGAAATTACGGCCTAAGGATCGAGGGAGGTGGCGTGAGCCATTTGGCTCTGAATACCATGATAGAATTCAAGAGAATGGTTGAGTAATGAGCCAAGGAGGCTCTATAGTACAAGCATGCAAGGAAGAGAGGTTGGAAGAAGGTGCAACCCTATTGGCCACTAAGTTGGCCAATGGGTGAGTTGCCTTGTGGAGTAGGGAACCCCACAATGTTGCTAGCTTGTGATTGGTTGGCCTTAGGACCAAATGTTGGCAAGTGCCAACCAAGGACCAAGACCAAACCAAATCTTGACCCAACCACAAAGTGTGGTTGGAGTGTACACCCAACCCCCCAATGGCTTAAAGAGCTACACCTATTCTAGCCTATGTATGTTGTATATATAAGATACATTTACAACACGCCGAACCGAACAGTGTTCGGTTCGCCGAACAGGGGTGTTCGTGCATGGGCGAACTCGAACACGTTCGTGTTCGCCTTTTGCTCATCCCTACTGATATATGATGATAAGGTACTTCTGATGGAACGGCGATGTGTGGGCGTGTGTGCGTGCGTGTGTGGGGGTTGGGGGGGTGCGTACTTAGGTGCGCGCATGTGTGTGTGGGTGCGTGCGTGCATGCGTGCGTGCGTGCGTGCGTGCGTGCGTGCGTGCGTGCGTGCGTGCGTGTGTGTGTGTGTGTGTGTGTGTGGGTGTGTGTGTGTGTGTGGAGACGGGGGGGGGAGGTTTGTGTGCACGAGCACGTGTGCGTGTGTCGATGCATGGATGCATACATGTGTGACACCCCAACCCTAGCATGCCCACAAACCCCGTACCACATACATACAAGTACTGGAGATTGGTGAGCCGACCAACAGTGCTGGGGATCGTGCCGCTGAGGTGCGTGTTGGACACGTCACTGGTGTGCGGCACATTGCCATGTGCACAAGAGGAGATGCCACATGGGTGCATTGGCAATTAGGGGTAGTGTAGTATGCATTCACAAGAAGGGAGAGGGGCAGACAGCAAACAAGGCATGCAATTGGTGGGCCATGCCTGATCATTAGCAGGAGGAGGAGGAGGAGGAGGAGGAGGAGGAGGAGGAGGAGGAGGAGGAGGAGGAGGAGGAGGAGGAGGAGGAGGAGGAGGAGGAGGAGGAGAAGGAGGAGGAGGAGGAGGAGGAGGAGGAGGAGGAGGAGGAGGAGGAGGAGGAGGAGGACGAGGAGGAGATATTTGGTTGAATTCCCACCACACCCTTTTGCCCCCCGCCTTCTATGCCTCAGTCTTTCAAGCTCGCTTTGCAATAGCAGACAGATGCGCCTCGGATGTCACAAAACGTGTCAGCCGAGCAGAACCCAAGAAACGTGTCAGCCGAGCAGAACCCAAAGGCAGGCTTTGGCACAACACAACACAATTTTGGGCAGGGATGGGCGAGAGGAGAGCGCTGACAAGTAGGTGAGAGAGGAGAGCGCTGACAAGTAGGTGAGAGAGGAGAGCGCTGACAAGTAGGTGAGAGAGGAGAGGCTGGAGATGGTAGAGGGGATGGACCCCGAAATGCTGATGTTGGATAGCATCCTGACGGACGGCCACAAGGGGTGTGTGGAGCATAGATAGAGGAGGGGTTGGGGCAATGGAAGAGACACAAAGAACATACGTGAAGGGGGAGGGAGGGAGTGAAGAGCGGAGTGCTATGTGAGATTCTCCAGGGTAGAATGCATGTGGTATGGAGTGGATGTGAAAGGCATGAGATGACAAATCATTGACGCTCGTGCTGTTGATGGCACCCATGCATGACAGCACCCATGCATGACAGCACCCATGCATGACAGCACCCATGCATGACAGCACCCATGCATGACAGCACCCATGCATGACAGCACCCATGCATGGTAGCATCGAACAAAGCTTACAAATGTCCAGGTTTATGGAGTGCTGAGACGGTGGAAGGAATGGGTCCCGAAATCTTGGTTGCTGCAAGGTCCCTGCCATGTGCCATGTGGAATGGTTGAGATGTGAGGAGACATGTATGTGACGTGTAACGTGTGGCACATGTGGCACGTGGCTTGTGGCATGTGGCATGTGGCATGTGGCATGTGGCATGTGGCATGTGGCATGTGGCATGCATGACTGTGCTTTCCAGGAAGCAAGTGATGCAGCCACTTTCATTACAAATTTGAATCTGAAACGACTCTGAGGGGTGGAGAGAGAAGCTCACATGTGCTGAAGTGAAGAGAGTCGTGAGATGGAAGAGGGGATGGGCCCGTAGAAGTTAGTAACAGAGAGGTCACTACAGGAACGGCAGAGGGCAGAGGGCAGATGGTAGTGAGCAGAGAGATCGAGGGTGTGTGAGACATTGAGCAGCAAAATGTGATAGGAGTCAAATGGTAGAGTAGGTGGAAAACTGGAAAAAAAAAAAAGAAATTCTTCCACTCTAACGCCCTCTCTATTGCATTGATTGCTTATAACAGCATTTCTCTCCCTAAAAAGCATGCAGCGAATGAAGGAAAACGTGCAGAACAACACACACCAAACACACAGGAATGGAAAAAGCAGGTACGAGCAAAGGTCAGTGGAGGGAAGGAAGGAGAACGCGATGCGAGTGAAGGGGAGGGAGGGTAGGAGGGCGAGGGCATGGGCGGGAGCACAAGGGAGAGGGAGGAGGAATCACAGGTGGGTGAGAAGGCTGAAGTGATGCAGGACGGAAATGGGTCCGGTCAAGTTGTTCCTATGTAGGGTGCTGCCTTTGAGAGAGATGCAACAACGAGGTGAATGCGGAAAGGAAAGGAAAGGGGTGAGAAGGACGAGGGAGAAAGGAAGGAACAAGGAGATGCCGACAAAGGAGATATGGTGAGAGAAAGAGAGAGAGAGCACAGGAAGATTGGAAATCAGTTAGATTGTTTGGCAGTGTGCATGCAGTGAAGAGATGTGGGTGTGCGCTTGCGAAAGAAAGGAGTGAAATGCAGGTGTGCATGTGAGCACCTGCATGCGTACGAGTTTTGAGGCACCTGACCTCACCTCACCTCACCTCACCTCACCTCGCCTCACCTCACCTCACCTCACCTCACCTCACCTCACCTCACCTCACCTCACCTCACCTCACCTCACCTCACCTCACCTCACCTCACCTCACCTCACCTCACCTCACCTCACCTCACCGCATCTCACCTCACCGCATCTCACCTCACCGCATCTCACCTCACCTCATCTCACCTCACCTCACCTCATCTCACCTCACCTCACCTCATTTCACCTTACCTCACCTCACCTCACCTCACCTCACCTCACCTCACCGCATCTCACCTCACCTCACCTCGCCTCACCTCACCTCATCTCACCTCACCTCACATCACATCACTTCTCTGCAAGCCCTGTGCAGAGTGTACGTCAGGTCAAACCAGGGCCTTTCCTTTGGCCCTTTGGTTCCAGCTGAACTGGTCTGAGTTCACAAGCATGCATGGCCCTTAGTTTAGGTGCCCCAAAATTCCAGTCAAGCCAGCCCTGCCTTTCGCCATGCATGCACACTCTTACACACACACACACACACACACACACACAGACACACACACACACACACACACACTTACACACACACACACACACACGGTGGCCGTACAGTTCAGCAAGTCGAGTGAGGCGAGAAAGGGCAGTTGGCACGGGCCCGTGGACATTTGAATATTCCAACTTGCTGCATTGTGATGCAACAGCCATGGTCATTCTCACCACACATCACAGCAAAGCCCCAGCCCACCACGGAACAGCACGGCACGGCACGGTACAGCATGATACGGCATGGTATGGCACGGTACGGCATGGTACGGCATGGTGCGGCACGGTACGGCATGGTACGGCACGGTGGCATGGTATGGCAGCTCAGGGTGCAAAATTTCGCCGAATTTTTCAAAATTTGAGCGAAAAATTCGCCATCGAAAATTTCCCCCGAAATTTACGATAATTTCGGTCTGGAAAAAAATTATGAGTCTGGTGCAAAAATTCGTCCGAAATTTTACATAAAATAGTAAAAACAAAAATGCGAATAAATGGGAAAAAACGATGGATGGAAATTTTACTGGCATATTGCTGCCAATTTTAAGCAGATCTGCCATTTAAGCACCAGATCTCTGCATATATCTGACATTTCGCTGCCAGATCTGGGTGGATCTGCCATTTTGCCACTAAGTCTAGGCGGATCTGACATTTTGCCACTAGATCTAAGTGGATATGCCATTTAGGGAACCAGATCTCTGCATATCTCAAGCATTTTGCTGCCAGAAGATTTTGGACTTTTTTTTGAAGGTCTAACAAAATTTCGCCGAAATTTTCAGAATTTGCCCGAAAAATTCCACCGTAAATTTCCAAGCGTAAATTTCCCTGTCCGCAATTTTCCACCTTGTGGCAGCTTGAATAAAACAAATCAAATTCAGTGGCACACATACAATGCCAATCAGTAAGGCAGGGCGGAGAAGGTTCGGGCATGAAAGAAATCATTTACTATAAGCCACATGATACTCACACTGGAGTCAAGGAGGAACCGTTTAACTTTCAGCAGCATTTGCATGTGCATGCAGGCATGTGGGACAGCTTCATGTATCGGATCAGCTAATGGTGAAGATGCGGAGAGGGAAGCAAATAGCAAGAAGAGGAATGCAAGAAGCACACGGAGAGGGATGCAAGAAGCACACGGAATTGAGTGCGGTGAGGGCAGCGTCTCAACTCAAAGCACATGGGGAGGGGTGCCATTACGACACGCACAAGAAAGTGAGTGCGGTGAGGTTGGTGATGCTGGTGGGAATGGATCCGTTCAGATTCAACTCTAAAAAGTTCCTGCGGCCATGGTGGGAAGCAGAAGGGACGGCGCGTAGGCCAGCAGACAAGGAGACGTGTAGGAAGAGAGAGACGCACTTGAATTGAAAGGCGGAGCTTAAAAGAGGGGGTTGAAGGAGAGAGGGACAAGCAGACACTTGCGTCACCGTACACACAACACAGCGCAACGCCGGACAGCACATTACACCTCTCGCTACCCACTGGGTCAAAACGAGGGTGTTGATTGGCGGATGGAATGCCCTTAACAGCCCAAAGGCGTTGCACTCGTCCACAGCGGGACGCCCTTAACACAGCCCACAGGCACAACACAGCCCACAGGCACAACACAGCCCACAGGCACAACACAGCCCACAGGCACAGCGACTCCACTGGTGGACGAAGCCAGCAGAGGACTGTTGGCTGGGTTCGCAATCAAGTCACCACATTCCAGGTCTCGCTCACAGCGGACAATGTGGACCAGCCGGGAACCGAACCCTTGGCTCGGGTACCAGTATAACACCTCGCTACCCACTGGGTCAAAACGAGGGTGCTATTTGGCGCAGCGGACTGCCCTTAACACAGCCCACAGGCGTTTACAGCACGCAGCGCACGCGGGTACGATGATGTTGTGTCACTCACAGGCTCGTGACCATTCCCTCTGCATTGCACTTGACGCTGCTATACGGTAGCGAGCAGTCCCCGCCTGCCGTCCACCCGCTCCCGGTCATGTTCCACACCGCCTCGCACTCCTGCAGCACCGCCGCTGCCACGCAAACGCCCGGAACGAGCGGGCAAACGTGGGGAAGGGCAAACGGATGCAGGCCGCGCAGCACAGCCGCGGTGCAAAATAGCACGGGTGGCGCGCGCAACGCACAGCCAAGGGATGACTGGCAACGGTCCCGATGGGATGAGATGGGTGAGGCAATGCCGTAGCATGATACTGGCTGAACCCACACTGCACCGCACATTACCGCACAGCACCACCGCACAACCCCCACCTTGGGACGCCTGTAACTGAACTGCGCTACAGTCGTGCGCAAGAAGCGCCATTGCCGCCACCACCAACACCAATGCGCGCGCGAAAAACGAATGAAAGCCCCCACGCCGAACGGTAAATCCCCCCCATTTGCCCGCGCCCCAAGCCGTTCTCCACTCATCCGCACATTTCCGCGGGTGGCCACATATCAAATGAACGGCTATGGAATAGCCTTTCGGCGCCATGCCCTTTCAGTCATAATCGTTACGATGAGTCCAACCTTCTTTGACCTGAATGAAATACAAATATTCTCGGCTTCTAGAAGTAGTTCCAGTTCCCCCCGTGTTGACCGTTCTCCAGAAGTGTTTGCAGTCGTAACTTCAGCAAGAATACCACAATCGGGGCCTCACATTCAGCTAAGTGTTACGTTTTACTGTCGCTACAATCAATCGAGCATCTACTATACCGATGGCTGTTACGATAAAGAACTACACCAAGCATTCCTATACGCAACAAAAAATATACTACCGAGTATGAAGACCAAGGGTCGAGACAAACCAAATGGGCGACGGTTATATGTCAAGACCAATGCAAGCAGATGTATTTGAAAGGAAACTGTCGGGAACAGTTTTGAAACGGGCTCATGCGCCTCACAGTTATTATGTATATACAAAAAGAGAATGCACCCATTGCCCTCACTTGGGCGAACAGCGCACGAGATGCGCGGCCGACCTGGCGTGATGGTCGGCGTCGACCTGGAGATGGAGCACTGTGGCTACGACGACGAATTCAAGTCGATGGCAGTGGCGAGCCAGTACGGTTGACGAAGGTGTTCCTTGACCAGCGAGCATTGACCAACGGAAAGGTTGGTGCGACTTCGTGACTTCTCATGTCAACAAAAGAATTAGGGTGACAAAGTTCGGCGGGGGTGCGCAAACGTCGCCCAAGACATTATTGTTAAGAAGCCATAGATGCCTAGGCAAAGAATGATGAGTTAGGTCAAGGTTTGGGGTACAAGAAAGAGAGTGTCGAGAGAAATGTTTGTACCCCCTAGAGCTATCCCCAATACAACCTAGATAATAATATATGTATATATTTGACACACCCCCATAGGTGAAATGGGGGATAGCCAGAGCAAGCAACGGTCACAAGACCAGTCAAGAGACAAAACACAGCTCAGGGTGGATCACAACGTCACCACTCAAACTGAGCACAAGCAAACGGCCACAGGGCCAGTCCACATGCAGAGGTATATAAGCAACAAGAACAGTACAGTGATCTCAAAGTAGCAAGAGTAAGCATGCAAGTATATATATAGATCACAGTACAAGGAGAGACTACAGCAAGTGTGGAAACGTCGGCACAAGGCCCAACAAGGTACAAAAGCGCTGATGATCACCAGACGAAAGTGCCTTGGTGAATATATCAGCAGTGTTGGCCCGAGTGTCCACGTGACGGAGACGAAGCTGGCCTCGCTGCTGCAACTCTCGAGCCAGGAAGTAACGCAGAGCGATGTGCTTCGTTCGGTGCTCCAGTCTGTGCTCCTCACACAAGGCAATGGCAGCCTTGTTGTCGACGTACAGCACTGGAGGAGAACGAGGCCGCTCTCCCAGGTCGGTCAGCAGGTAGGTGAGCCAGCGCAACTCCTGTGCAGCCATGGCTGTGGCGTAGATCTCAGCCTCACAACTAGAGCTGAGAACAGAAGACGAGCGAGTAGAACGCCAAGAAACAGAGCCGGAGCCAAGGCTGAAGGTGTAACCTTGTGACGACCGCTGCGTAGCCTGGTCGTCAACCCAAGAAGCGTCTGAGTGCCCAGTGAGGACAACGTCGCCCCGTCCTCCAAGCACGAGCCCCATGCCCGATGTACTGCACAAGTAACGCAGCACCCTCTTAGCAGCATCCATGTGCACCTTTCGGTGCCTACCAGGAGCCACGTAGCGAGCCAGAAAACCCAAGAGCCGCAAGTGTCGTCCTCAGTGTGTCGTGCCACTCACGTGGCGCCTGGCGGAGACCGTAGACTGGCCGCTGGAGCCTCCACTGGGTACCAGGAGGGAACGACCCAGTGAAGCCAGGAGGGCGGCGCAGCCAGATCTCCTCGTGCAGGCTGCCCTGCAAGAAAGCTGTGCTGAAGTCCAGAGAGTGAAGCTCGTAGTCACGGTGAGCGGCAACGTGCAGCAGTACCCGAAGAGTGGTCATCTTCGGGGTGGGGGAGAAGGTCTGGAAGAAGTCAACTCCCTGTCACTGACTGAAGCCTCGAGCAACGTAACGAGCCTTGAAGACGGGCGGAGAGCCTGGCGGCCACTTCACCCTGAAAATCCACATGCCACTGACGATGTTCGACGTAAGTGCCAGTGGACTTCCAGGATGCCATCTCTGCGTCCATGGCTGTCTGCCACTGAGAGGAGTACTCACCCGCGATCGCCTTAGCGTAAGAGCGCGGGGTCGGGATGTCTGGTGCATCCGGGTCTCCCTCAGGTGCAATCAGCATGGACACGAGATGAGGTACAGCAGCCGCAAAGCACTCAAACTCCTCCTGCCTGTCCTCAAGGACGTCCGTGCTAAGAGCACACTCACCCCCGACGGACGGAGGACAGACAGACTCAGACTCAGCAACAAGACTAGCGGCGTAGTCTAGACGACAGGTAGCAGCAAAGTCAACAAGCTCAGCGACTAAGGTAGACGCAGCAGTAGACTCAAACGACGGGTCAGTGACAACAGTGGCTAACAAACGCGTGACAGTGGGGTGCTCAGCGCGAAACCGGTCAGACTCAGGGTCCGGAACGACAGGCAGAGAGGACGCAGGTGGGGAAGGCAGAGGAGCAGACTGCGGAGCAGAGGAAGGACGACGGACGACAAGGTGTGCGCTGGGGACAGTCTGCTGACGCGCACGAGCGACACGACGACCGGTACGACCAGGACGAACAGGCGAGACAGGACGCGACACAGGCTCACGACGCTCAGCAAGACTACCTGTCTGCTCAGTGTAAGGAGAAGGAGCAGGCAGCGGTGAGCCAGCCGGTAACGGAAGACCAGTGGACGACGGGAGAGTAAGAACCTGACGAAGAAGAGAGTCAGGCGGCGGCAGCGACGACGGAGACGGCGGAGCGAAGAACAGTCGTGTCGGCGCAGCTGTACCAGCTCCGGCAGCTCCAGCAGCTCCAGCAGCTCCAGCAGCGCCAGCACCTCCAGCAGCGCCAGCGCCTCCAGCAGCTCCAGAAGCTCCAGCCTCAGAACCGGTACCTCCAGCGCCAGCAGCTCCAGAACCAGCGTCACCAGCAGCCGCACCCCCAGAACCGGCACCTGCAGTCCCAGGGTCTCCAACCGCAGTGTCTCCCGCAGCAGCACCCCCAGAACCGGCACCTCCAGTCCCAGGGTCTCCAACCGCAGCGTCTCCCGCAGCAGCACCCCCAGAACCAGCACCTCCAGTCCCAGGGTCTCCAGCCGCAGCGTCTCCCGCAGCAGCACCCCCAGAACTAGCACCTCCAGTCCCAGGGTCTCCAACCGCAGCGTCTCCCACAGCAGCACCTCCAGGCGCAGCACCCCCAGCCCCAGCAGCTCCAGTGTCTCGAGCAGCAGAGTCCCGGGCTCCAGCAGCGCGACGCTGACGGCGACCGTACCAGTCGTGCAGCTGCTGAGGGGTGAGAGGCACACGCGGACGAAGGCGGCCACTCCAAGTAGGCCGCGCACCAGCAGTCCCAGTACCCTCAAGCGTCTCACCGCCAGACTCAGCACCCCCAGACTCCGCACACACAGGCTCAGCACCCCCAGACACAGCACCCCCAGGCGCAGAACCTCCAGGCTCCTCACGCGCTGGCTCAGCACCCCCAGACTCCAAACCCCCAGACGCAGCACCTCCAGGAGCACCACCCCCAGCAGCACCAGAGTCAACAGTAACCGGCTGCAGAGGCGGTGAAGAAGGTCGCGGGGGGAACCCCGGAGGGGTCTCCAAGCGTGGTGCGCGGCGGTAGGCCGACGGGGCGCCAGCAGCAGCGTCACCCCCCTCGGGTGGGCCAGAGGTGTCGGAAGTGACCTCCAAAGGCTCAGCCAAGGGGGGGGGGTCTACCTGAGACACACCTGAAGGAGCAGGACCCTGAGGGGGGAGGGGGTCTACCGGGGGGGGACCTGGCGTAAGGAAAAGCGGCGGGGGGGGGGAGGGGGGCAGCGCGGTAGGGGAAGAGACGGTAGTACGGAACCGACTCGTCAAACGTGACGTCCTGGGAGGACAGAACACGGCGCGAGGTGGGGTGGTAAAACTGCCAACCAGGCGCGTCAGGGGGGAAGCCAAGGAAGACGCAGGGAACAGCACGGGAGGACAGCTTGTCCGTAGACAAGTCTCGGACAAAAGCCCGAGATCCCCAGACACGAAACGCAGACGCATCGCCAACCTTCCCCGTCCACAGCAGAGTGGGGGAGGTCCGCAAACGGCCACAGAAAATGGGGAGCAGCCGCATGAATCATGGACGTACGAGCGACATCCATGACCATGCCAATGCGGCGCTCAGCAATCCCATTTTGCTGCGGAGAGGCCGGAAGCGTGAACGTCTGGCGGATGCCCCTCGCACGACAGTAGGCTCGCAGAGGGCCTGAGGAAAACTCCCCACCTCTGTCGGAGTGCAGACGCAAAACAGGAAAGTCAGAGCGGAAACTCTTCCTGAGCTGGAGACGAGCAGCGCGGATCCAGTCGATCAACACCTCAGTGACCTCATCCTTGCGGCGCAAGGGGAAGACTGTGGTGTAACGCGAGTGTTCGTC